TGCAGAACCACAGCTGGAAAACGCTATCTGGAGACACAGCAGCAGGTCGATCTGACCATGCAGCTGAGCAATCTCACGCTCAAAAGAAGAGAGTTAGTCAAACCAGTCCACACGGTAATTGGTATCTCAGAAGCCGGTGCATGGTGCCGCTCGTATCCGAAAGAAACTGGTTCAAGGAACCCACGCGTCTTTTCAGCGCAAAGAAGTTGCTACAACTTGTGGCGCGATAAACAGCGGGGGCTCGAGCTCTGCCTGCGCTGCTCGACGAGCATAGGGAGCTCCACTACCACGTGGATCCCCTTCTGGCGCGTCGTCGACGCCGAAGTCATACTTAGTATCTTGCGAGCTGGCGGGGGGATCCTCATTCACAAAACCCATGTGATTTTGAGGTCCGCCTGCGACAGGATTCCCCATACGTCGGGGACACTAATAATTGAGCTCACTCGATGCCGACGCGCCACCTCGCGCGTGCGACGGCGTCGCCAGGCGTGGAGCGCTTCCCACTAGATTGAAGAGAAGATAGGTCGGCAGCTGAGCTCAGAATCTGACCGTTGGCTGGAGCAACAGACTCGTAAGGAGCCGTGCTCGCAGTATGGGCGAAGGCGGGCTGGTCTCATAGTGCTGGGGACGGTCCTTGGGGCGACGCTGCGCTGTCGACTTAACGAATTTAAGGCGCAGACACCTCTCGAAACGAGCGCCTGCTTCGGAGAAACTAGCTCAAAGACCGCATAACGCGGAAGCCGTAGAGCGTGCCGGACCCAGTATACGAGCTGCGCTTTATAAGCGGCTGTAGTCTCTCCATGACGAAGGCCCATAGAGACTGTGTGCATGGCTGAAACCGACTGTTGGTTCAGCTGTCGCCGAATGCACTACCGATACGCCTGGGGAGTGGTGACTTGTGGAGCCAAGGAATGTTCACGGAGCTGGTGTCACAGCACTTCTTCATCAGCGGTAGCGGCCGCGGGCCCACATACATACAAATCTGCTGGGCAGCACGGCGCGGCGGATTCTTGAATGACCGGGCCACGACTCGGCTTCTCGGACCTTCGTAGGCTTAGAGCTACAAGCAGGTCATTGGTAGAGACAACCCTGATCGCTGCGACCGGTCTCATCGTACGGTAAGAGCGAAGCATCGTGTAAGGAGAGTTTAGTATTACGGACGCTTTGAGCCGGGCGTCTTCCTCTGACGCGAAAAGCTACGGCTGCCCCACAGCACTTATACCGAACTAAAGACGGGAATCGAGCGTAAGGAAGCGCAAGTACGCTACTAATGAGAGCAGCTCGCAATCTGTTGCGACGACCAAGTAGCCAGCGCTACAGGAGCTATCCAGCGCGCGCTATGGACACGATGACCCGCCTCGTCGTACACAGAGGTGCGCATGCCACCGGCGCCCCAACCACGCTAAACAAGAGTGTCGAATTATCTAAAGCATTTGGGAGCTTGATCAGACGAAGAAGTGACGGTGCTACCAGTAGCGCGGCATATGGTCGATGATAGCGAAACGGATGGCCAGAACCCATTTCTGGTCAAGGAACAATGCACGCAACGCCCTAACAACTCATCACAACGCGAGGACAACAGGCTTCAGTCCCCGGGCATCTTCCATTGCTTTGGCAAGCCCGTCAGCTCCCATGGCATCCATCGCAAGCACAACTTGCGTGGTCTTATTGCTGGCGCTACCATCGTCATATCCGAGACCGGCCTGTCTGTCAACACCGTCGCACCAATCTAAACATTGGTGACGCTCGGGTAGCCTCGACGTCGCTTTTTCATCCGCATCCGGTAGGCTTTAATACAACCTTGTCTTCCTCCACAGTACATGTACCTGCTACGCTCTTCTTCGTTTCAATCGCCGTTTTCTCCTCACCCACGCACCCTTTTTACGTCAATTTGTTGCCGACCCATGCGGGTACTTCTTCTTCATATTCGTTTGACGAGCCAAACGTTTTGTATTATGCCCCTTAAGGAGAGCACGTGTCGTGAAGCTGTCTTGCTCAACTATCGTCATCTTGTTGACCATTTCGATCTGCTGCTTGTCTGCGAGGAGGGCAGCGTGAATTTAGTCGTGACTGAGCTTGATGCCGCCGTGCTCATCTTCAAGCTTAGCGAAGAGTTTCGCCGCGCTACTGAAAGCGGCGGCTTGCTCGTTCATCAATGTCACAGTCGCAGCGAGGTTGAGCGTTCGGAAGAATTGGTCGATTTCTGAAGCGATTTTCTGTCGCTTCTCCATTTTCACATGTTTGAACATTCGGACGCTCGATGCGTGTCGTGGTATTTTTGCAGGTACTTTGAGAACGAGGCCACCGCATTTGCGAGCTTCTCGACAGCTTTGGTACATCTTCCGGCTCTCGTGGCGCTGGCGACGAATCGCATCACGCAGCTCAAACATCTTGCGGAGACCGTCAATGATTGTGAGCGCGAGGTCCATGGCAGCTTGGGGGTATTTCTTGAGACTTCGGTCGCGAAACTCAGAATGAACCGGTGGAGAGCAAGGAAAAATGATGCCGATCAGCTTGGCGGGTTGCCATGGCCCATGAAATCCATGATGGATCGCAAAGAGGCATCGAGTTGATGCTCAGCTGTATCCTGTCCCGTCCGACGGACGCGTGATTTTTGAAGGGCTCAAATCGTCCTGTGGCCGTCATACAGTAAAACCCGTCCTAAATGAACCTTGATAAACCTGATATCCTGTCGTACATGACATACCTCGTGTCCACCAAGTCCGTTTCCAGATATTAGAGAACTTCAGTTTCTGGAATATACCGTCACCTTGGAATAAAATGTTGCAATATAATCGTACTTAAAACGTAACTTGCATATTTATATGAGAGTGGCTACTGCGCCCATCTGAGGAGGTCTCTTCTTTGTCATGCCCTATTCCTCGTGTGTCATGCTCTGCGCACGCTATACGAACGACGGCGTATACAGTATACTGCAAGGACAGAACGAGTGGCTCCCCCTCATTTGGACAAAAAGAGCAAAGCGGCAAGTATGGAGCGCCGGCCGCGTCCAGCACAAAAGCGCCGACAGTACGCTGCTCCGAGTGAAGATGATAGCGACAACGGTGACAGCGACGCCGAGTGGACACTGCCATCCGGGGACTCGAGTGTACAGTCGTCGCAAACCTCGAGCCAGTTCGAGACACAGAGCGCCCAAGAGGAGGCCTCCAGTGGAGAGACATCTTGTGCCTTAGCCCCCCAGCTACTTCAGATGCAGTTTGACTCGTGGGAGTCATTCCATGCTTACCTCAACGAGTATATGGCGCAGACATACCAGGTTCGCATCGCTAAGAAATTGTTTAGTTGACAGCTAGCCTAATCTACTGTATGTGTACCAGAGCTTTCGAATTCGTACTAACAACAAGGTCCAGGAGCGCAACCGCAAGATCCAGAAGCAAAATACTTTAGCTCCTCTAATCCCAGAGGAGTGGATCTGGTACAACAAGACCCTTGTTTGCACCCACGCGGGCAAGTACAAACCGCGGGGTAAAGGCAAGCGGCCACGTCGGGAAATACGATCGACTGAGTGCGGTGCACAGGTATGTAGTCATTTATATTTGGGCACAGTTGGGCTAAATACTATCGAGTTGGGCACAGATGGGTGAATTCCCATCGAGTCGGGTTCAGATGGGACACCTGCAACTGGATGTGCTGTAATGCCTTTCGTAATACTGACAATGTCATGAAGCGTTTACATCGAGCGAAATCAGCGGTACGCCTAGTCGAGACCGCCGTGAATTGGATCTCGACTATAAACTTCAACCTACCCGTGGACAGTACGTTTCAGGTACAAGAAGACGCGAGCATGAGCACAAAACTGAAGGAGCTGCATATATTATCGGATGAGGTTCGTTCATGTTGTCCATAATACGTGTTCAATCACTGACATATTATGACGTTATGTGGGTACAGATGCACGTGCTAGATGTTGCTGCAAAGGGGCAGCTTAGCGACGATACTATGAGCACGTTGCTGACAAAACTGTTCGGTCCAAATCCGATGATTAGAGTGGCAAGTCCAGGCTCAATACGTGTGCCTGTTAACGGCGAAATTTGGACCGACGATGATGCTTTGCCCGCTCTGTTTTTCGGTGCATCCACGGAGCAAGTGTTGGTTTCAGTCAACTGTAACCTGAACCACTGGTGTGTTATCATGATTGACCTCGAAAAGCGCAGAATCTACTTCTACGATCCGATGGAGTCGACGTACAAGGTTGGAGTCCGTTCAGCTGCAGAACACATCAAAAATTTGCTTCGGGTGCAAGGATTCGAAGGGTGTCGCGTCCAAAGCTATGGGAGCCATCTCGGAGTCCAAACAGATAACTACAATTGTGGTATCTATGTTCTAGTCGCCTGCGAGGTGTTTGCAGGTGCACAGTCGCCGGGACTAATCGACAAGAAGACGCTGCAGTATCTGCGCTACAGATACCTTAGCTTGTGCATGTAAATACATTACATTTTTGACCAAACCAGTAGTAAAATGCGAATGAAAATGCGCTTGTGAGATGTTTCACCCGTAGCTTGCTGTCAGTCCAAGACAGACATAGCCGTATCAGAGTCCGGTTAATCCCGTATAGGAGTCCGGTTAATCGCAGCAAACCCGTATAGTTGTCGTGACACGCATCAAAATATTACATTACTGGCTCTTTCGGTAGTTGGGATCAGATGGGCACAAATGGTCGTATGTGGAAGTCGGATGGTGTCGGATGGTAACCAATGCCTCGTCACATTTTCCCCCAGATGGGCACAGTAACACGTGCCTATTTATATACCCAAACCTTGTTCCAGTGGAATATAAGAGGTCAAGATATTCCAGTGCCATAGCTCAACGGATTCCTGTAAGAACCTTTAACCCGATAAACTCGACATCAGTCTAGGTGATACCGCACCAATCGCGTGCGGCAACCTTGGGCAAAGGGAAACCAGCCAACCCGCAAAACCTCGGTGCTGGCCACGACCCCCGCGCGACTCCAGGAAAAAGCCGACAGAGGTTCCAGAGCAATGGACAAACGCGCTAATCAGCTCCTTACCTGGACACCTTTAAATACTACAGTACGTGTTTATTCTGACGGTGCCACTGGACTAACTACTATGATTATGCAGTCAGACGTCGAGTTGGACGGTGACGAGCCACAAGTTCTGCAAGTCGTGTCAGCGCCACCCGTACGCAGTGGTGGAGGCGATGACGAGGCAGAACCTCGGCTCAAGCGACAGCGTCGAGTAAACAAGAGCGAGAAAGCCCGCAAAAAATGCATCACATACTCTGTGAAAGCAGACTGCATGCTCATGAACGAGGTGGTTGGTGATGACGGGATCCTCGAGCTTCGTAACGCCTCGAAGACCGAGCGGTGGGTCGAAATCACGGAGCGCCTTGGCTCAGCGCTGAGCAAGAAGCTGTTTGCTGACGGTGTACGCAAGCACGTTGACAAGTTGGGGAAAGAGTACCGATCGAAGCGCGCAAAGGAGAGAGCCATGTCAGGTATGACTTCTGCTACGGGATTTCCGCTCGCTGGTTGTGTGTAAGCTACACCTATGTATACCGCAGGCCAAGAACCACATAAGTCTATCGACGAAAACGAGCTGGAGCGTTTGATGGAGGTTTATTTTCAGAAGAAGGACGATGAAACCTTGGTACACAGCAAGCGTACCGAATCCAAGACCAGAAAGATTGAAGAGGACCGTGCCAAAGGACTAGCCGTCCGTGAGGCTGCCCTATCAACCGAGAAGCACACCACGAAGAAGTCCAAGCCCGCCAAAGCTCCGTCAGCTTTTGATTTTTTGGAAAGACTGGAGAAACGTGCTGACAAGCGCCGAGAGCAAGATCTGGAGCGTCTTCGCTCTGAGCGAGCCGAACGGGAGGATCGTGATCGACGCCTCGCCGAGCAATCAGCAAAACTTGCTGCTGAACAAGCCGAAGCTCAGCGCCGAATGACTGAGCTGATGGCAAAGGCTCTGATGGCCATCGCTACTATTTTCCCACAGCAAAACAACTGATCGGGTCATGATGCGCTCAAACGATTAAAATATCGTTTCTACCTTCGTTGTCAAGAAGTTATCACGCAGAAACTTTTTTTTTGTTGTTTTAGTAGGGTCAAAACATCTAGTACGACGTACATTACGTCACTTACTCAATGCCACCGATAACCCATCGTCTTCTTCCATGCTATCATCGCTCAAATCGCTCCAATCGTCTGTTTTGTCGTCACTGTCGCTAGATTCATCTCCGCTGCTCATGTCAGACTCATCGTCGAAAAATTCTAAAATGTCATCGTCAGATGGGTAGTCGTCTTCGTCTATGGCTTCGCCTGACTTAAGATCGGCTAGGTACACGGCGAGGGTTGGAAGGCGGCAACGAAAGTACTTACTAGCCTGATTTTTGCGCGGAACGCATGACAAGCAGTTGTGGCGATAATAAATAGCGTACTCATCGGGCTCTTGAGCACTTTCATGTTTGTGATGAGGCTAAAAAATTTCAGTACCTAACGATCCAACCGAAGCTCCACTCTACCGCTATTCGAACACGACTCAAGTCACGATTGAAGTCTCGCTGATTCACTGTCCTCTGTGGATCCGAAAAAGGTGTGATCAACCAGCTTTTCAACGGGTATCCCTGGTCACCATAATTGTGATACCCGGGATGATTCGCCATGTCATCCACGATTTCACTTTCTCGCAGTATAAATCCATCGTGACAGCGCTCTTCAATAGGTCCAAGTATGGAAACGATCAGACCATTAGCCATGGTGATATTCTGGAACTTAATCCCGTGCTTTCGTTTGTGTCCACTATAAAGCTGCTCTTAAAATCGAACAGGGCGGCACGTTTGCCGAATCGTTCCACCGATGAATCCTAAGCACTTTGAAAGACGCCTGACCTTGCTAAAAATTGCATTTGCTGAATGCCCTTTGTATCGTTCAACCATACGCTGATCCAAATTCATCTTCTGTCTTACTCCGTCATAGATCAGACTAGCCGTAGTGTTGATAGTCGAAGAGAGCGCCCCTGGGCTGCGTCCAAATTCACACCTCAGATCCGCTAGTCGCGCAGGGAACATCAGTCTGCGTAAGAGAAGGCAGAACGCTTCTTCCCGCGGTACTACACATCCTTGGCTCGTGTAGATTTCATTTGGTAGATTCGAGAACGGCAGAATCTGCCGGATTTCATGAGACTCAAAGCGAAAAAGCCGGCGGCAGGCCGACCGATCATGGTCGTTAAGGCTGAACCGAACGCGCGGGAAGGTGCATTGCCATGACAGGTCCTGGTGATGCATGAGCTCTGCTGCGTACAGCGCAACGGCTTCGGCTTCATATCCCATCGCGGACAGCGCTAAGATGAGGAAGCGCGCTTCCTTCTCGTCCGCGTCGCGTTTCCCCCTAAACTTCAAAATGAATCTTTGGAATTTACTCGAGCAAGAAACTGGTTCCATATTCCAGTAAAGTTTTGTTCCAGAAACTAAAGTTCTCTATTGCTATGGAGTAAACTTGATATTTATCAAATGACAAACCTGATACGAAATCTTGAGGACAGCAAGGGGATATGTGTAGCATACGACCTCGAAGTGGCCGTGGAAAAAACTGCTAGTCAGCAACCAGTAGTATTGGCATCGTTTTATCATGCTTTGACTGCATCGAGAACTCATACGATTTGTAAGTGCTCTTGACCCAGTCATTGTCGGCAACCTAAAAAAGGTATGTACCAAAATTTGTAACTTGTCAGGACTAAATTTAGTCAGGCACCATGGCCGTGCTACTTTAGTTTTGGAGAGCCTGTGTAGAAGTTATCTTGATACCACGGTGGTCAACAAAGAGGTTGTCCTCCCTGTCAAATGATCAGATTTTACTGCAGTACCTCTTTTAAATTTTAGAAGAGGTAAAACCTGTCCTGCTTTGGAGGGAGACCTCCAGTACTTGAGCAATATGAAAATGGCAACACTTTTATCTTTGATCACAGTTGTGCATTTCTTCGCGGCTGCCCGATCGTTGTGCGTCTTGTGGACTTGTCGGGGCTACTGAGCCTACTAGCAGCAACAGCAACGACGACTAAGTCGTTGTTGTTGCCCGAGTCGCGCCGTTATGGTCTTCCTAAGTCCTTCACCCCACTACAAAAAATACCGCTCAGCCTGCATCACTCAAGCTCCATATTTCGGTGCATATCCAAGGCGGAAAGCCATCTCTTTTACGAATACGCGCACGTCCATCGCTCCATAGCCACCAAGCTTGTCCATTTGCGCTTCATCAAAAGTCTGCACAGCATCACGGCGTGTCTGGTCCTGGTACAAACTGGCGAACATTAGGCGTCGTGGGGCTTCTCCCGAGTCGTGCTCCGGGTACTTATGGTCATATTTATGATAGCTCTGCTGGGGGCGGAGCGGATGGGGCTCGGATGGTTCCACCACTCGCTGGGAGGCAGTCTTCACGATAGAAACAAATACTTTACTGCTGCCGTCGTCCTGGTGCTGCGTTGCCAGCTCTGACACTAGCGAATTGACCCAGTGGTCTTCAGGTACTGACTCGCTCTCTGTCATTTCGATGTGTACGAAGGCCAGAGCCTTGGCGATCTCCGGGTCTGACAGCAGTGAGATGATCTGAGTCTTGGTGTCATCAAAGTCTTGAACGTGGTGCACGGACGCCCCCCCAGCCTTCTCGGCAGATTGAAGTGCGGAATCAGACGCGCGGTAGAAAGAAATGGGGCAACTTTGGGTATCTGATAAGGGCAGTACAAGCAACCTATTTTTAGCGAAAGGAACTGTGGGTCGACTAGATACTTTGGACTCACGCTATCACGCCCTCTTCCCCTGGACGCCCAGCAGCGCTAACAATGCGCTGTTCTTCGGATCCGACTGCACCAGGAAGCCGCTGCAACCACGCGCAGCCACGTCATCGAACACAGGAGATGCAGTGGGTCCCTCCCCGTCCAGGAAGATGACGAGGATTTTTTGAGCGAGGTGCTGCGGTGGCATTCTCAAAAATGATTTAGGTATCCAATTGTGTCAACACACAATTTAGTGTTCAAAACATGAACGTCCATTTTCGTCCTTTGCAGGCACCTCAGACAGTCAACAATGTTGGTCATCAGGGATTCGTCTTGGCGATCTGCTCGAGTGACGAAGCTTGCCGGTGGTCCTCGTCACCGCCTGTGAGACCGTATCATTCTCCTTTCTTGCCCGTCGTCGCACAAATTCTTTGACTGAAGATGGCGCCACGCGACGCACTGAGTGAGAAGTCTCCGCTGCTGCCAACTACGGCGGCTTCCAGCTCCGAGGAGCCGGCGGTGGATGTCCAGAAGGAGTTCCTGGGTCTGTCCTCCATCGCGCTGCAGGTATCGCTCGCTACATTCGCGCGTATCGCGCTGTACTCTATCGACTACGTCTTCTTGGGGCATCTGGGCACGACAGAACTGGCTGCAGCCTCTTTGGCGTCCGTGTGGACTACAGTGCCGCTGCTGACCGTGTGGTCCAGTATGTCGGCCATTGTGACGCTCTGTGGACAAGCGTGGGGAGCTGGCAACGCCAAACTGACGGGTATCTGGCTGCAAATGGGATTAAGTCTGGTGACGCTGTGCACTCCTGCGTTGATGCTGTACTACTGGTTCGTGGAGTTCGGACTGCGTGCGTCTACAAACGACAAGGAGGTTGTGCGTCTCGGTATCCGCTTCTCGCGTGTCTTGATGTTCTCAATCTGGCCGAACCTCGTGTACGTCTGCTTGCGACTGTACTTCCAGGCCATGGGGGTGATGATGCCGACGACGGTGGTGGGTACACTGTCGATGGTGGTGTCTGTTGCAGCCAACTACTTTTTCATCTACGGTGCTTTGGGCTGGACAGGGCTCGGATTCGACGGGTCTGCGCTGGCAACGGTGGTGGCTTCGTGGTTCCAGCCTGCAGCTCTCACTTGGTACTGTGTCCTTTACAAGAAAATGCATCTGCAAGCGTGGGGTGGCTGGGACTTTAGCGAGTTCACCCGTGAGCGCATGACTGTGTTCTACAACAACTCTGCTCCTGCAGCAGTCAACAGCTTGGTGTCCAATGTGGCGTCCTCGTCGCTGTCTCTAATCGCAGCCTGGCTGGGGCCCGATATCATCGCTGCCAACGCGATCGTATCGGGTTTCTGGCGCTTGCTGTGGGCGCTTTTCTGGGGTTTTGGGTCCGGCACACAGATCCGCGTGTCCAATTTGCTGGGGGCTAACCGACCGAAGGCTGCCAAGACGTTAGGGATGCTTGGATTTGGATGCACCGTTGTCACGGTGACGCTGCTCGCATTGGTCACGCTTCTGTTCCGCGCCGATGTGTTCCGATTGTACACGAACGACGGCGACTTGCTCAACGTGTGCACGTCGGTGCTGCCTGTCTTCATTGTGGCCTTCATGGTGGAGGCTACTGAGATGGTTTTCGCCTCGATCCTGTCGGCTATGGGTCAAGTGCATATCACGGCGTGGACCAGTACGCTAGCGACGTGGCTCGTGGAGCTGCCAGCTGCGTATGTGCTTGCCATCGTGCTGGAGGGAGGCTTCGCAGCGCTCTGGTACTCGATCTGCCTCATGGAGGTGCTCAAGCTGGTCGTGTACGCGATCGTGCTGCGTCGGATCGACTTTGCAGAGATGGCACGCGAAGCTGTCAAGAATATGGAGGTGGAGGACGAGGAGGTGGAAGTGAATGTTGCAGTGGCTGAGGGAGGCACCACGGCTCTTGGTGCCAACACTGGTCTGCCGTCACCTGCTCCAACTACGCTCCTGACGCCTACGGGTCTTGTGCATCAATGGGACCACGTAGATGATGGCCACACCAACGCCAACCCAAGGGGCAATCTTAGCTGAGACTTTCAGCCTGATAAAGAGGTCCAATTGCAGCCGCGACGGCGCTGCAATGTGCCGTCATAGTCAATAAATACGTGATAGAAGTGAATGAGGAGAGGTCCATTGGGTGCCTTCCATAAATAGCATAAGCACGTGTCATATTTGCAGCAGATAAGCCTGTCATACTTTACATGTATGCTGAGCTTAAGTATCAAAACGTCCACCACAAATACCATAAATGAGGCATATCTCAAAGACCTCTGTCCTGTTTATATGTCGCTACCTAGATCTTACACAGACCGAACTCATTATATGGAAGCGTACCCGACACTTCGAATGGGACACAGGCAGGGTGAAGCTCTTCTTGTACGTCACTTCGCAATTTACGCACGTCCGGGAAAGCATGGAGAGCGAAGACACGGAAGCAATGCTTGTTGTGGCGGAGGCCATCGACCGGGAGAGGCAGGAGCTGCACGAAGTGCGCCGAGAGGTCTTTGGCCTCCTAATCGAGGAGGCCTGGCGCGCCGCCATGCGCAGCCGCCACTATTTGACCGGGTATTGCTTGGATTCCCCGAGCAACGCGTCCTGGATGGCTCTATACGAGAACGGGAGTGATCTAAACTTTCTTAACGCCACCAGTTTAACGAGGTCGCCTATTATTGTTCGTCTGGATGCTGTTCTTGACTTGGATGCTGACAGTACATGTACCAACAGGTCCTCTTTCTCTCAGCTCTTACAGCGTTTTTCACGGTTCTACAGCTTACCGGGGCCAAGAGTACGTGGACGGCCGCCAAAGTTCCGTAACCTCCAACAGGTGTTGGGCTTAGTATTAGTGTTCTACACTAGCTCGATGGAGCAAACGACGCTCTGTATGCTCTTTGGAGCTCCTCCCAGCACGCTATCGAGGACACTTCGGAAGGCGGAGGAGTCGTTGAACAAGGCGCTACATGGTTTCGCTCCTGCGCGCATATCCTGGCCATCACCAGGCCATCAAGTCAAGCTGTCGAGGCTGGTAGAAGCCCGCGAACCCCTTCATCACCACACGTTCGGGTTTATCGACGGTAAAAACCTACGAGTGCGTACATGTTTGCATTTGCAAAGTGTATTAATTCAAATATCTTACCAATGCTATCAAAGTAGGTGCAGCAACCATCCAACGCTGATCTACAGAACGCGATGTACAACGGGTGGCTGCATACAGTATTTGTTACGGGGACCATTTGTTTCGCGGCTGATGGCTGTATAATCTGGTGCAAGCACAACTGTCTCGGGTCCTGGAACGACTCGGACACCTCCATGGAATTTCGGTCGAAGCTCCTGGACCCGGTGTTGTGCCCAGATGCGAGAAAGAATGTCGTGTCCGATTCTGCCTTTCCGTGCTCTACAGCGATGGTCGGACGCATTTTAACGCCGCTGAAGGACGGCGACTTAGAGCGGATTCACCCTGCCCTGCGCAGTCAAGCACGCACCCTTCATAATGCTATAACTTCAGTGCGTCAAGCAGCCGAATGGGGCATGGGGAGTATACAGAAGGTATACTCCCGGCTTAACTTGCCGCTCCCCTACGATCCACAGCTTCGCGGTATGAGGCTGGACAATTTGTTTCGCCTTACCAACTACCGGGTGAGGACTGTCGGGATCTCGCAAATACGTACGACTTTCTCGGGTGTTATGGATGAAGGGGTAGCTTTGTAAGGCCGAATTGTTTAGTTTACTTTGAGCATGATTGGCATCTAGACTGAGATCTGCTTCTTAGTAAACCTTCTCAAGCGTTTGAGTTATGTTTCGTTTCGATACGCGACCATGCTAGTAATTTGACATCCAAAAGTATTTTTTAATGCATTGTAGAGATCCTACAGGTAAGAACGACGTCACTTCGAAGGTGTCGGACTTTTGCCGCCTTCTTTGGTTTCCGATGGCCCTTAGGGCTTCTTGTTGATGCTCGCGATGAGCAAGATGAGCTCCTGCGTGCGAGCTCTGGCTTCTTCCTTGTCACGGCGAGCTCGTTCGTCCATCTCGATCTTGTCTTGACGACGGCGCTCTTCAGCTTCCGTCTTGTCCGCGAGGCGACGTGCCTCCTGGGTTGCAACATCGTCACGACGTTGTTGATCCTCTTCCGCACGGCGGATAATCGCCTTCCGCTCGGTCTCTTCGCGAAGTAGCAAAATCGTTTCTAGCATACTCCCTCCGCTCATTTTCGAGGCTGTTTCTAGCAAGTCCAGCTTGGATTTAAGCACCGTGGTCGCTTTAGCGGCTCGGATCCGCTTTGATTTCGCGAAACCTGCCTCCATGTATCTCCTTGTCTCCTTCCATGGCTGACTTGGAGCCCGTTTCGTCGCGCAACGTGGTATGATCCACTCCTCCAAGTCGATTTGAGGCAGTCTGGAGCTCAGCAGATCGGTTTTGGGCCACAGACGTTTTCGTCTGAGTTTCAGTCGTCTTAGGGAGCTTTGTGGGCCCCCGAGCCTTCGTCCGAGTCTTGGGTCCGGTCCGCGGCGATGCTGAAGTGCGTACGGTGCCAATATCCTCGTTCCGATCTTCTGAAGTAAAATGGGAGGCAAGCATATCTTGGAATCCCCCAGAGGTCGGCACGTTTTCGGTGTTCTGAAAGCTCCCATCTGCATTCACCTGACCGGCAAAGCTCTCCGCCACAACACCGAACCCCACAGACTCTAACGAATTGCCGCCAACAGCAAATGAGCCGTCATCAGGCTCGACGTCGAAAGCGAAATCCTCTCTGAAGTCTTCTTCCTCGTTGTCGGCCCCGTCATCCATTACAACGACACTGGCCTTGTCGTCGATGGCGTTCTTTAGCTCTTTAGCGAGCTTGATGTGCGGCGGCATTTCAGAAGTCCCAGTCGGCTTCCTTGTGCTGTAGAGCACCTTGAATTTTCGCCGTAGGCTGTCAAACTCCCGCTCCGGCCACCCACGCATCCTACTTCCATTGTAGAAGCCCGCCAGCCTCTCCCATTCGTCCTTACCAAGAAGAAGGATGTCTTCAATGAGATTTAGCAAGCGGGAGATCTCTGTCATCTTGTAGTTTGCGCTACCCGACACCTTCGCCATCGTTGGAACCACCGTTAGTGGCGTGGGGACTCACGACGTGGACTTGCTCGGCTTTTGCAAGAAGCAGAATGAGAAACTTCGAGTACCGGCTTCAGTCGCTATTGCTGCGCCTAGTTAGTGTCCAACTTGTGATTTGAAGGCGATATGCCATCTTCAACCACGTTGCTCTCCAAAACCAACCGAATACCGCGGAAGAAGGTCGTACCGAGAGTGACCTTGCAGAAACTAGGGAATAGAGAACATCAACGTGAGCAACAAATCTTGATTGAGTGCCGTCTTCCGGGAGTCTCGTACCTACGGAAGGTCCAATTACGACTCTACATCTCCCCTGTGAGTCCGTGACTCGCTCTCCGTGGCGGCTGGTCCATCGCCTGCTACCTCGCCTCGTCGAGCCTTGGCTCAAGGATTTTGCTTGTCTTGTATGTCTCTGTGGACACATCCATCGAGACCACAGCGACAGACGAACCACAAGTCGTCCCCATAACCAACAGTGACCTCCTCTCCGCGAAAGACGCGCTCTGTCGTCGGAACCACGACCGTCGTTCGGCGCCCATTGCTGACCTCCAAGAACTCTGCAACCGGCCGGCACGAGTGGTTCGCGAACCGCATCAATCCCCCCATGGTCTCTGCATTTATTGCGACTTGAACGCGGTGGGCCGGAGATTCGGGACGTCGCTTCATCACCAATCGATATCCGTTGTTCCGCGGGCGCCGAGCTCGCGAGACACTGAGGTGCTCAAGCTCGCCGAGATACTGCCCGATCACCTCCCCGACGCCGATGTCCTCCGCCGCAACCACCGCCAGCGATGATGTACGCACGTTGCGCCCCAGGAATACCTTCGGAGACTCTGCCAAGCCGTTTCCGCACTTTCCTTCAAATGGGCAGGTGTTGACGTTACAGAATACATCCATGAGCGAGTTGCGACAGACTCCGACCCGGCACGGCGATGAGCATGTACACCAGCCGAAGTGCGGCACGTACGGGAATCGAATGTACGAAGGGTTATAGGATTCGCGGAGGTGTATAACACGATTTGGCCACCGCGCAGGCACGAAGAGCTGGAATGTAGGCGCCGTAGACCTTCTTGGCAGAGGACGGGGGGTCTCTGGCGAAGATGCCAACGACCCGTTATCGTTGAGCACAAGCAGTTCGCGGTTAAGCGGAGCATATGGGCCAGATGCACTTCGGCGGGCTTCACGACGCCCATGGCGAGCCGCAGATGTCTTTGAACGTGCTGCAAGTCGCACAGGAGAACGCGGAGGAGTCTCCAGAAGCAACGGGGAGGATGTCGTAGGACTGGCAGGTAAACGACGACTAACCGTACTGCGAGTTGTAGCACTCAGATCCTGCGATGATGGCAAGTTCGACTTGTCCTTCGGCTCGCGATCCGTGAGCCCGGGCGATAACCATGGAGGCGTAGCAGTCCCTGATGACGCCAGATCGGACTCTGTGCTCTGGCTATCGGGTACTTCCTTGGTCTCCGGCGATGCCCTGCCCTGCATGACGTTTGGAGGAGTATTCTCGTCGTCGCTGTCAAGCACGCAGCGAACCTTCCAGTGCAGTCCGGGGTGTCATAGATGCACCATGTCTCCTGATGACACATACATGAGCGTTAAATAACAACACATTAACTTTACTGCTTGTCACCCACCTCTTCTCGCCTCTGGCCGAAATCGAAAGTGATGGCCAACTTGAAGTTGCGGAGCTTTATGCCAGAGTTTAAGTCGCTGGCTTCTATCAGAGTGATGGTCGACATAAAGTTTACAAATTTCTATATTAAATTTAAGATGGCTACACGACATAAATCTAGGGGTAGGTGCGTCTCGTGAGACCAAATATACGTCTCACGAGAATTTATGTCATCTTAAACTTTGACATATCTGCTGCAAATATGACACGTGCTTATGCTATTTATGGAAGGCACCCATTGGAATTGCCATAGGGGCCTCTTTCGATTAATAAAAATACTGAGACCAGGCCATTAGCCTTTTCCCTCGCTGTGAACCATTCGCTTCGAAGTTTGGCTCGGTCGTCACTTCAGTAAAATGACAACCACTCTAGTCACCTCCACAGCTTAATGAGATAATTCTTCAATCAGAATATGTATTATAATGAGCTTCATAATACCTGGTACCGGTAATAACTTAAAGCAGCGTGATACATGTACAGGGGTTAATAGCATCGGCACTTTGGGCAATACTTATGATCCTGATACAGTTTAAAAAGCGGTGAAACCAATATCCGATGATACTGATACGCTGACGCTAGCGTATCAGTAACGTATCAATATCATATCAATAATGTGATATTCAGATGAGTCGCTACTTGCTGTCTACCTCAGTTTGCTTTTGCAAGCTCCGGTACTCTCTCCAGTTTGCTTTCATCAGGCAAAGCATCTCTGCCCGGTCCTCATCCAAACGGGTACGCAAATCGTTCACAACGTACCCACTTAAGCTAAAGAAGCGCTCCTGAATTGCAGTTGACAGAGGTTTAGCAAGATAGATCCTTGCTAGGACGGCAATTCCAGGAAACAGGAGTTGTCCAGACTCTTTAAACCATGCTAGTATATCCACGTTCCGATACAAGTCTAGTAAATTGTACTTGCCTGTTTGGGATATTGAACACGGCCACGAGACATTCAAGTTCTTCCATTCGTTCCACGCGTTCATCGCTTGGGCGGATAGGTCAGCCTGGAAATCAGACATTTACACGTTTTGAGCCGGGGCGTCGATCTCTAGTAAGGCACCCAGTGCAGTGTCAATGAGATCAGAGCTGCTTTGAGAAATCCCCGACGGCAAAGGCTCCTCACCCTTACACTCCTCGTCTGCTGCTTGCCTTGCAAACAATTTCTGATAAATGAGAGCATGCTCAAATTGAAGTTCGGTCTCGGCTTGTGCAAGAACTGATGAATCACTGACAATACTATGTGCTTTTCCTTTAATCCGCGGATCCAGAAGTAAAGCTTTTATGTCGTTGAGATCCTCAACTGGAAACCGAAGAGCGAGTTGCTCACGAAGTCGGTCGCGACAACGTTTGCCACCCCAAGAAAACTCGGATATAGACTTTGGTGCTCGGCGTTGCGAATGCTCAGTTGCTTTTGGCCCAGGGCGATCGAGAACCAAACAATTAACTGTAGTGGA